GTGGCCCTTTCAGAAAGTCGAGCTCTCTGTCCCAGCCGGTCTGTAAAATACAAGTATCAACAAGCAGTCCCCATAGATGTCAAAGACTTAACCAGAGTGATTTTCCATGCCACATCCCCATGGCAAGTGCGCAGCTTGCCTTGCCTAGAGCCATTGCCCATAGCTCACACAAGTGCTGCCTACAAGTACAGTGCCCTTGACCTTTCAATCATTCTTTATCGTAAACTAAACCCATTTTTTCTCCTTATCTGCCAGTGTCCAACCTTCCCTGTTCGGAGGCCCAAAGTCCGCCGTGCCCTAGCACTGTGCTGCTGCACAGTGGCAGGCAGGAAGGGAGGGGAACCTGCCCCAGCGGGGCTCGCTGTTAGGCTCCTGCCGAAGCCGACGGGTGTTTCTGTCAAGGAAGCAGCCATGGTTGTCCTCAATGTAACAGTCTGCACCACCAATTAAATAAAAGTAAAATTTATTTGGCATAGGACAGAAAACTAAGGAGAACAAAATCACATACAAAATAAATGTTAAGCAAAAAAATATTCACACAACTAGATTAATATTTTATAAAAAGCTCAAACTTTAAGCATCTCGTAAAAACAGGTTACTTTCTGCTCAGCCTATGTTTTAAGTCATGTTTCTCTCTCTTTCATAGTCTTGTGTGACTTTGGAAGTCCAGTTTAGAGGTCTTCCTTTGCATGAGTTTGCACCAGAGACCACTTCTCAGACAAACTGCGTTTCGGAACAGCAACATCCAGAGGGTTACTCCCTTTTTTAAGACCTGTGGTTTCTATTTGTTTCTTGTAGTCTGCCTGCCTACCTGCTGCATACTCCCTCACTGAGAACATACACCTGTGCCCTGCTTCTGCTGAGGAACTCCAACGCCCCCCTTTTTGCCCATGCTCCAGGTTTACTTTTTAACTGAATGGTCCAGGCACTTCCACCTTACAGGCTACAAGATCCCCGTTTTCTCCCAGTGCCCAGGAAGAACCATGCCATGAACTACCTACACTTAATGTGTCACCAGATGTCTCAGGTAAGAGATTCTCCTTATCTTCTGGTGGATACCATTTAACAGATTAAAGTCCATACAACGTGTGTTATACAGAGTCAATGTACCGCCCTAACAGGTTGTTCACACCTGACAGTGGGACAACGGCGTTCCCACTGTTGTGATGTGGCATTACCTCCATGCACATTCTGCACTGTAATTTGTACTCCAGTATGGATAGCTACATTCAGCCAACTGTTTTGTATTTCCTTGAGCAAGCTTCCCCTTTCCAGCGTCCTGTGGCTGAGGGGCCCTCTCTAGGCCTCTTGACATTCTGCTTGAAATAACCCCAGTTTGATCATTCAACTCCATTCTTTGCTTCCAAGGCAAAAAGTACCCTTTCTATTTCCATACTTCTGCACTGAAAATTGCTGTGTGACGATATACGTGAAGCACGACAGCAGTTTAGTCCCCTCATCCTCTGCTCCAACAGAGACCAACTTCTACAAGGGACATGTAAACAGTTGTTGCTGAAAGAGAAACTACCGTCCAGATTTTGAAGTGACAATTTCAGGAACTTCTTTAATAGTTGTCTTGCAGAAAAAAATAAATCATTCTTCTGATTCTTTTAGTGTTGGGAAATGCTGCCTTCTAAACAAGAACTTTGCAACCTTGTTTAAGTACTTCATTTACAGAAACACATGCTTCCTGAATCACAAGTTGAGTTTCCTTTAACAACTCTGAATATTAATCGCTGTGGCCTCTTCTCCCAGTGGCTGGTGCAGAAAGTCCTAACAGACATAACGTACTTTTCTTCCAAAAGCACTGAGCAGAAGTTATTTGCACACAGTACAAAAGTTATTCCCATGTTATTTACCGAGTTGGATTAAACAGAAATGAACACCCGTGGCTGCTGTCACGCAATGCAAGTCTTAGTGATGACATAAAAAGATAGCTTGAGGTGTCACGGTTTATGATACAACGCCATTGAAACAAACCCAGTACATCTTATATGCAGGCAGTGAATCAAATTTAGTCCTCTTAGTAACCTACACATCCAGGCTGAAGTCAGCTGGGCCGTATGGACAGCAGTGTCAGGCACTGGTTTTGGGGAAGGGTTGAATTTCCAGAGCAATACCAATTGTGAGGTTAACCAGTGCACACTTCACACCTTACCTAAAGATGGGTCCCACAGTCTCTCCACACACTGAGCTCAATCTGAAGTTAGCAGACAGAGCACGTTACAACAGCAGGTCTTGGCTCAAATGCTGAAGAATGCTACTGTCGGCACTATTTACACTGGGACTTGGAAGAGCAACACCTATTTATTTTTCTAGTGAGACACAGAGAAGTTGAGTAAAAAAGTCGTAAGGCACCATGGATTCAGTCTGTTTTGTATTCGTCTCTTTTAACACTTCATAGTGAAATAAATACTTTAATACTGATTGTCTTGTAAATAGCTACCGATATACGAAGCAATGTATTGAATGATAAAATGCTGCATTGTTCTGGAATGGATCTACGGACGTTCACGGCAGAAGATATAAAGTTCTTGTTACGTGAAAAAATAAACCCCACCTCTTCCTGCACTGTTAAGCTATTTTACATATATGCCAAACGTCCGTTCTGAAGAGGTTTCTATAGTACAAAGAAGTGCTTAAGCCCAAGCAGCTCAGGTTTCTTGGCTTGTTGACTTAGGACCTTTTACACAGCTGATTTTAAAGTGAGACTGAAGCCGGTGTGCCAAGTCTTTGGTAGTGGTCCAGAACTCCTGGTCACAAAAACCTTGCTCAAAAGATCAAATATAGGATATTTCAAATGATGCAGGGAGTTGGCAGAACAATGTGCAGCATTTTCATTGACTTACCCAACGGTCCTGCTGGAAGCAGGTAAGTTACAAAACAGGTATAGGTACTGGAGGTGGGTTTTTTTTCTTATTTTGGATGCATAGCTATTTGGCTATTAGTAAGGATTTGGCAGGTCAAGGTACTGAAAAATATTGTATTCTTAAATTCAAAATGTTCCTTAGAAAGTTGTAAGTGCTTCAGTTTAAAAACATGAATACAATAATTTACCCTTTAAGTTATTATCCTAAAAATCTTATTTGGACTTCTATTCACATAAAAATATCCCAAATAGTCAGGCACTTTGTTTAAGTGACATCCATAAAATACATATATAAATTCAATACTGTGCTAGGTTTGATCCCAAGGTGCACCTGTCACACGGAGGTCCCACTAGTATCTGTTTAAGAAACTCTTACGGCCACGATCCTGCAATTAGATGTAGATACATCCCTGCGCCTGCGCATTTAATTGCGGGTTCAAGACCATACATAGTAACTTAAAATAGGTCATTAGATATAAAACTGTAAAAAACAGGTACATAATCAAATGCTATCACAGCTAAAAAGATTTTGTAAACAAACACTGAAAAAGGCCAAATTAAATTGGATCTGGCCAAATCCAACTCTGTCTCATCCCCTTCGCTGTGACTGTCCAGGCTGTTGGGTGGAAAGGGAATCTGCCCCTCCGTGCCCACTGACGGAGCAAAAAGCCCTACGCACCAACGCTTCAGTGGGGACCACTCTCTTCAGCTGAATTCCCTAGGTTTTCAAGGACAGACCCTGTTCTAGCTGCAAAGCCTACTTCGGGTCGTGTCTCCCGTGCTAGAGAAACATTTTCTTAACCAACACAACTAGTTGGTTTGGGTTTCTTTTGAGAAACACCCTGTGGAGCATGGCTGCTGATATAGGCTTGGTAGGGATCCCAAGGAGTACACTGAAGAAACACAAACTGCTGAGAAGACAGAGGAGAAGTTTTCAGAGCTAACCTTCAGAAGTCCAACTAACAAATCAGTAATATTTCAAATCTAGAATTATAATCTTCCTCTAATTTCCAAAGGCTTTTTATATCTGTCCAGACCCATTTGTAAAACACAATCACAAAATGAACTCTTCTCATATACAAAATGCCAAAGCCATTAAACATACTGACCGATTGTCACAACGTTAGAACACTTCACTCTCTTCTCTCAGTGCAAGCCTTGCAGCTCTCTGCAGACTCCTTCCGGCCAAGTTTGAAAGGACAGGCTTCACGGTAAGCTCAAGGGCCAAACCTTCCCATTTCTCTGGAACCAGTGCAGACAGCAAGCTTTGGAGCTGATGATCTCACCTGAATGCACAAACCCCCCACCCCCTTCACTACATCAAAGGGCTTTCACTTACGCACATCTTTGACCTCAGCTGCTCTACTGTAACACAAGCCAAATGCAATCTCTCTGAGACTTGTGACCTAAGCCCCAGGGAGCTTTTTAAGACAAACCCCACCATTTAATTGTACCAGGGGAACAACTAGAAAGCAGTCTGTGGAGCAGTGGGGTTAGCGATGCTTTACAGAGGGAGCCTGCAACTACAACAACTGCTGCATTTGCACCAAGACTGCTTTCTGAGGACTCTTCACGGGTAGAGGGCACTACAACAACCCAGGACACGGATGACTGTGGGTTGGTCCACATCACAGTAGGAAAAAATCAGGTGACTAAAAGCACAGCTCTATTAAAAAACAAGGAAAGAGGGATTAAACCCACCAAAAGGTATTTTTATGCTGTTGAATTCTTCACTCGTGCTTTTCTTTGGAAGATCCGCCGCAGATAAAAAAAAGGCCAGACACACTCCATCCTCGGGGCAGGATGTGCCAGCTATTGTTTAAAATAAGATTTGCTTGGCTAAGCTGAAGTGGAAAGGTTTAGGATGAACTCTCGGTCACCACGTAGCAGGCCTGTAGGTCTATGGCGCGCAGAAGCAGATAGGACAAGATGGCATGCAGAGAAGGATCCAGGGGACTCTTAGCTACACGGTTTTCCCCAGCAACTGTTCTTTAAATAGCAAATAGATTGTACTTTATCATTCAAATAATATAGCCACTGTACCCAAAGTGAACGAAACAGCTTTGTTCCAGCTCTATTAAATTCAAAGCCAGACCTCCCATGGAGCTCTCAAGGGGAGAGGGCTGGAGACGGTAAGCATGATGCACGTATGTTCTGTATGGTCCAAGAAATGCCTTTCATGACAGCCTGCAGTATAAGCAAATAAAATTTATAGCTCTGAGCAACTACAGTTCATAAGCTGCACCTCTTACTTCTGTAATAGAGACCCAAGTTTGTTCCAGCTGACAAGCCAAAAGTGGAAATAAAGCAAAACAGACAACTTTCCAATGATGTGGGCAGGAGAGCTGACTCGAAGGAAAACTGCAAACAGACGTTGCCCAAAGATGGGCCAGAACCCATTTCACCTTGGTATAGGCGGCAGTGGGGGCACGCCTCTTTCTTTTCGGCCAGAGCCACCTGAAAGAGAAAAAAGTTTGTCACTCCTCCTGGTTTCTTCTGAAGTAGGAGTTTATGTCCAAAGCCATTATTTCAGTAACTGGTGAAGATCATCTCATTTTCCTGCCTGGCCATTTGACTAAAAAATCTTCGTGGCGTTTCCGGTCAGTTTATTGTGCTGGTTTTGGCTGGCTAAACCAGGACATTTAATAAACAACATCAGAACTTCAAACAGTGCAAAAGGAAGTTTTTAACTAATGCTATCCCCAAACGTCTGGAACACAAACATATTTTAGTCCTTTCTCCCCTTCTTGGAACAGACCGATAGTTCTCGTCAGCCTTACTGTTTCATGCCAACACACACCACCTCCATGCTACTCACGACGTGCAGATTGCAGTGAAAGTGGCAGGTTGTAAATACAGTAACATTTCAGAGCTCTTCACGTTTTTCCCTATATTAAGATTTTAATTGCAAGGTCATGAAAAAAAAAAACATGCATTACTTTGCCTTTCTTCATGGAGTAATAGAAATGGGATAAAAGCTAACAGGGCAAAGTGAAGGGGCAGAGACTAACAGGAATTTCTGCTCCAAACCACAGCCTCATCATTTGGAAAACAGGAGAGAGAGAGAGGCATCTGAGTGTACAGATGATTGCAGGGTAACTATGAGCCACCGATGTCACTGGTTGTGAAAGAAGTAAATTGATCCTTGGGTGTATCAGGCAAAACACCTCTAATGAAGGCAGGAAACATTTAAGCTCCTGTAGGAGACATGGTTGAGTCCTGAACTGGAACAGCATGTAACGCTGATTGGAAAAAGCAAAATCAAACTGAAACATATACAAAAGCAACCCTGGTGATCAGAGAACACGGCTTGGAAGCATAGTGCAGAATATCCTGATTTAATCAGCCCAGGAGGAAAAAAAAAAATACTGAGAGAAGGATATGACTGTTGTCTTAAAAAATATTAGGGTTTTAACACACCAAGGAGGGAGAATAATTAGTTATCCTCAAGGATGATGTTGGCACAAGAATAAATGAGTTGTGCATGAATTTAGATGGCAAATGAGGAGGAAGTCCTAGGGGATCTTTGTGGTTCTGGCTGCCTGTAGCAGAAGGGCTGACTACAATGGCAGAGGTGGTCTCGCACAATGCATGTTCCAACTTAAAACCAAACCCATTTTCCCCTCAAATACACGTTTAAGAGGGCTTGTGCCTACGAACCTGCATTAGCTTTTTCTCTGTGGTGGGGAAGGGTGACCAGGCTTTTAGTCTGAGAAGTTTTGAAACCTCAGCTTCCAGTCTCTTCCCCATCCACACTGTTTTCAGGATAACACGCTGAAATTCCAACAGCAGAGGTGGAACAAACTTACCTCTACTTTCATTTCTTGCTACTTTACTGGGGTAACTTCTGTTCATGGGTACATACGGCTCAGGAGGTGGCAAATCAGATATAGGATGAAAAGAAAATCTGCTTTCCCATTCATCTGAAAAAAAACCCACGCCATTTTACTCGTTAGTTTTGTGACACAGCTTCAGGAAAGTAAACTGACATTAACATCAGCTTTAATACATGGCTTATATTGCAAAATGCTCACATAGCCGAGTATTGAACCAGCATCCCACTGGGAAGTCAGGGAAGAAGATGCTTAGGTTAGTTTGAGAATGAAAATTCTTACCAACTTTCACTGATCACTTAGCCAATTTAAGACAAAATCACAGATCAGGGAAAATGGCCATAACGCCACTGAAGTAAGTGCTATGTTCCCTTCCATGTACAGCAGATTTGCTTTTTTAACACACACATGGATACGTACATGCATGTTACCAGAAATGCGTAGTGTCAACAGTGGCTTGTTCCTGGATATAGAATTTTCTGATACTCATACTTCACTGATATACAAAGCTCAAAAGCATCATTAAAAGCAGACTGACCTATAAGCAGCAGTTTTTATTTTTTAATTTTTATACAGGGGAAAAAAATTTGGGACCATTATGATAAAGTTTATGATGACAGAGAAATCTGTATGTAACTCATGCCAAAAATGGAAAAATATATCTGTTGAAACTCTATCTCCTGAGACTACAGGGGCCCTATTGGTGTCCTTACTGAGGCTGCAGGATTCTAAGGAGTAAAGCAAGTTGATCCGCTCCTTCACTGAAATAACAGGAAATGGTTATGGAGCTCTGTTCTGCACTTGAATTTGAAGGCCCAAGGAAGAAAGCGTGGGCTATCTTAAACCTTGTCATTTCTTCGCTTGGTTGCTTCAGGCCTTTGCAACCATAACTTTCTTGCAATACTGTTATATTTTATTGCATAACGTAATGAACAGCTGAGTAAGTTTTGCCCGGCAGTTGTACATGTGGTTATTTGCTGGGATCCAGTCTTTCTATGTTTAGTCCCAACGGCTGCAATTAGAAACCAGCGTGTAAAGGAGATGCAGATCTTAAGCCCTTCTGTGACCCACCTGCCTTATCTGACGTGTGAAGATGCTTCAAAAGCATGAGTTACAGTTTTATTTTCTGCTTGCTGTTTCTAACGTTATAAATGTCAGAAATATCAGTTTTGGCCTCCCATAATTAGCGGAAAGATTTATCTGTCCTTTGCAAATAGAAAATAACTAAAAAGAAAAGAATGGTGAATCTCGAAAATGCAGCAATCTTGGACTTCACTTTTCCAATAAACACTAGCAAAAAGAGAGATACTTGACATTTTCAGCAGCATTCTGACAATCTCTTCCCTCATCAGTTTTTCAGCTTTTGAGTCATCATATAACTTGTTCTGAGTTCTGATGAGTCTTAGCGAAGCTACGGTTTGAGTACGTGTTAGAGTCAGAATGATCCCCTTAGGCCTTATGTCTGAACTGTAGCAAAGCATGGGGAATACATTCCTTTTTTCAGGCAATTTTTCAAAGGGTTATTTTGGAGACTGTATTGATGACTTTGCAGTTCTGCTCTGTGTGGCATATTTACTCTGTTCTTACTTGGCAGGGTTAACTGACACCCAAAAAGCACCACTGTTGGTCAGAAACCAAAGGTCTGCACTAGAAACAAAGCCTCCACCCCAATCTTTTTTTGACGTACTAAGGCCCAAAGCCGTTACACAGTCTCTGTCGAAGGCAAACAACCGGGAGGATGGCTTACCATCGCCTGCATCCTGGAAGCCGTTCCTGACAGCTGATGAAGGCGGCGGTGGCGGCGGCGGTGCTGCCGAGCTCGGACGGTCAGGGGGAAGCGGCGGTCGTGGTCCACCTCGCTGGCTGTCCAGCCCTGCCCGGGAGGGCAGCTGGGGGGGAGCAGGGGAAGCCCCGGGAGGGCTTTCCTTCCTG